CAGGGTGCATGCAGAAGATGCCAGGATTCTGTGTGGGAGAGTGATGTTTCAGGGAACTAAGTCTCGCATTATAGAGAGTTTTAAATCTTTAATGTCTCTGGCTTACAAGCAAGGCTACTAAGCTGTAGGTTCATCCCCGAACAGGCCCAGCGTTCTACATCAGATCTCTCAGATGCAGCTTCCTAGCCTGCAGGTGACACCCTTAGAATAAGAACACACTTTCCCTCAGCCTGTGACTTCTCCACAGAAGACCAGTTCACAGTGCGGGCTCTGCGTTACACCTTTCACTGCCAAAGGCTGGATCCTCCCCCTCTCACAAAGGGTACAAAGCATCAAACCTGCTTTACCACAGGTAGAACAGCAGGACTTCCCTGGGAGCAAGCACAGCCCATGCAACAAGACCGGAATTTAGTCTGGCAGCCTTCCTAGCAAGTCTGGTCTGCATCAAAGACCCCAATGCGCTCTGACATATGTTCCAGTGGCTTAAAATAGCCTGGGGCATTCTGCCCTGCAGGTGAGCACCAGCCAATCTTAAAGCCTGGCAACCTGCCACCAGCCTCACGGCATGAATGAGCTGAAGGCACTGCTGGGATCACATCTTGAAACTAGGATGGCCAAGCATGAATTGCTGCAGAGCAGCTGGGAGGACAGAGTAGCCTGCAGAAACTGTTGGTATGCCTGAGGACACAGAGTTAAGAAAAGCCTTCAAAAGACCCGTTTGGAGATGATCTTTGGGAAGTGTTCAGAGACTTGAGTGCGCTTATGGGCTGCCCTAGGTCCTTCAGCCCTCCAACATGCACATGGGACCCCATGAAAAGCAGGCCCTGAGCTCCCAGATGGAGCAGCAATACAGCTGTTTGTCAGAAACCACCTGTGGTCTTCATTTTGTACTCTACAGGGCAACAGTTACACCAGCCCACGCGCTTTGTCATACTCTGCAGAGCCAACAAGGAACCCTACAGTACTCGTGGCAAATGGCTTGTTTCCACAACAAAGCAGGGAGAGGTTTTTGTTACACAAAGGTATACCTCTCAGTGACATCTCTTGCCACAAGCCCAGCTGCCAACTTACTTGCCCACGATAATATGCAGCTGATGCTGCACCTCAGCATGGATGCTGGCTGTGACAGTGGAAGCCAGCTGCTCGGTGGTTCTCTGGAAGGTGCTGATGAGTTGTCGAAGTTGATTCAGCAGCGGGTCCCGGGCCTCCTGTTCTCGTACCTTCTTGTTCTTCAAGTGAGTCTCAAGCTGCTGGATATCTGCAACAAGCAAAAAGGAAGATGCTTGTGCAATCGGTACCTGTGTAGATGGTGAGGGCAGAAATCCAGCTGCCAGGCTCTACACTTCCTCCAGCAGAAACAATTACTGAGCCAGCGTATGAACGCAGGAGAGAGGGGAGAACACACTAGCCTTGTTTTAGGCTGCATTACGCTAATCTAGAAACTCTGCTTCCAGCCTCTCCATCATGCAGGATTACATGACACAGCAACAAAGCCACAAGTTCTCCTGCAACAGACTTTTACAGGCGCTCTTTGTTCAGGGCAAGATAAAGGTGGGAGTGAGGGTATTTTAACTCACACTCTGTATGAAATATGATCTTTATTAGCAATAGAGTTCAATGGCAATAAAGAAAGAGGAGGAACACTTCAGAGGGAAAAAAAATCATGTCTGCAGACACGAAAAAGCTGTATTTTAAAATATTTTATGAACTTGTCTGATCAAAAGGGAGAAGAATGTAAGCTCTATGTACTTGCAGGAGACTTGTGAGGAAGAGGAAGGGTGCAAAATAAACAGCAGCTGGAGACACTCTGCAGATCTATGGAGAACCGAAGTTGCTGTGCCAGCACTAGCCAACTTCAGGCCCCCTCAGAAACCAGCTCTGCACAGTAACACCTGCCTAGCCTCCCAGAAGGTCAAGAAACTGGATCCCAACCCTCAAAACACAAAAGATCTTCTCCAGTGCGTCAGTGTACAATTTTCCTTACTTAAGGGTATACTTTTCTTTTTTCCAGCCTGACCATGCCTACACTTTTCAGTCACTATTTAACCTCTGATCATCCCCATAACCTTCTCTAAACCCTCTTCGATCCATTCCCAAGTGTGAAATGGAGCACGCAGATAGGCTAAGAGGTTAAACACTTACCAGTGAAACTCTGAAAGGCAAAGACATAAGGCCACCTTGTTGGCAGCCAAATGCAAATACTCTGTGCAGAAAAAACTCGGAGAAGAAAAGAAGTTGCTACTCACATTCCTGTGTGCCCTGCTTGAAGGTGTCATTGATTTGCTGGAACATGGACTGGCAGCTCTTCTCGAAGGCTGGCAACACAGCGCTCTGAAACACTTCCCTGCAAGCTGACTGGATCGGCCCCTGCAGGATATCGGCCGTCGCTCTCACAACAGTATCTGTAAGGTTCTTTTAAGCACACACAGAAGAGATTCCAGAAAATTAACCACAGCCTGCTGCCGACTACAGATGTGAAAAAACACTGTAGGTCTCTGCAACACATCCACACCAGATGAGGACAGCCCGGTGTCAGAAGTGTGTATTCCCTCAGCTCTTTCCACCAAGCAGGCTGCACCATGACTACATCAGGCAGAACATCTGCTTGCTGAGGGGCTGCCCGAGAACATCACCATTTCCCTGTAGTTCAGCTGTAGAGCAAGGGAAGATGGCAGAGTCAGGCACGGCTCCTTTCCCCTTCCTCTGCTTCCCTCTCACAATCCACTATTCTCTGCCAAGGTAAGTAACAAGCTTCTGCTCCCTAAATAATGTAGAAATGGAGAACAGAGTGGAGTTCAGAAGAGCCAAACTTTCACCACTTGGTTGGAGTTGGCCCTAAAAACCACTGCTGTAGTGAGAATCTCTACTCTAGTAGAAAATTAACAACTTGGTAAATGAAAGAAAGGGTTAATGAGGCAAAGTGGGTAGGACAGTATACAACGAGCTCGCTCTCCTGATGACACCGGGAAAAAGCTATGACCACTGGCAGCTAAAGTGACCTTACCTGGAGATACAGGTGAGGGGAAGAGGTATGAGGAGTTGCTACCCAGGCAAGTGACAAATCAGTGCCCTCAGGAAAAGCTACAGTCTGGTTCTCCTTACCTTTGATTTCACCAGCTTGGTGATACTCTCTTTCAGTGTCCCCTCAACGGCAGTGAGCTTGGCGGCAATAGTGTTACTTAGCTGGCCAGCGATGGGGTCCATGCTCTTGGAAATGCCTAGGCACAACACAAACATGTCAAAGTTGCAGCTTTAAGCCTAGAGTCACACTTCAAAACCCAAAAAAGAAAATGGAGTCGAACTCTTCTTGGATGTGACACAGCAAGCGGCAATGGTCACAAGCTCTGGCTTGGGAAGCTAAGGTTGGACGTTAGGAGAAACTTTCTGCTAGGAAGGTGGTACAGCTCTGGAAGTCACCAGAGAGGCTTTGGAATCTCGAGTCTTGAAGGTTTTCAAGACCTGCCCCAACAAAGTCACAGTCGACCTTATCTAGAATAGTGGGTAGCCCTGCTTTAAGCAGAATGGTGGACATTAATGGCTGCAGAAGGCTTTCCCACCAGCATTTCTTTGAACATTTCCTTACGTGGACAGTGTCAGTGCATCAAGGAAGGGCAAAACCAAGTTTAAGTTTGCTCCAGTCAAGTCTCAACATTTCCAAACTCATCAGCATCTTTTGCCTTCCTCTGCTGAACAGACTCCAGAAGCATTAGGGATTATAATGGAAGGTCAGACCACGCTCTCTGGAAAGGTGTCCCCTCTGGGAGCTCCGTACTCCCTCCAAACCACATCACCTCTTTTCAGTTTACAGTGGGGCCCACAACAGTTTAAAGTGCAATGACTAGTCTTCACGTAACTTAACTCCTACTTCATCAAGTGCCAATACTTTATGCAGCATGCTTTCAATCCCTATGGGGTTAACTGTAGGGATCCACCTTCAAAACCTAGGCAGCAACACTCACACTGCGGTACGGTCTTCTTCATCTCCTCACGAATGGTCCTCTCCAGACGGTTACACAAAGCAGTGGAAAGGGACTGAGAGAGCTGCTGAGATAGATGCTCCTGGAGCTGCCCATTTCGCTGCTGTCCTTCCGCCAGCACTCGGTCTAGTCTTCTCTCTAATGAGAATGCATGTTAAGGAGCACAAACAATGGATTTCCTCTCCACCCTCAAAACTCCTGTCCACAAGGGTGGAAACTAGCCTCACCTCCAGAGGCTCAGTCAAAGGAAATGTGCAGCTCTGGTGAAAGAGAGGTCTAATAACATTGCTGATGTGTTCCTGTAAACAACAGGGTGCTCTTCAACAAGTGATCAGGGTGAGAGAAGAGCTCTGGAAGGTGTGGTAGAAAAGCCAAACAGCTAAAAGAAGGTGGACAGTAGTGTTCCCTGCATATTGTGGGTTAACTGAGCTGCCCCCATAGGCAGCTCAGCCCCACATAGTCGCCGGCTTACTCCTCTGTAGCAGGATGCGGGGAGAGAACAGGAAGGGTAAAAGTGAGAAAGCTCATGGGTTGAGATAAAGACAGTTTAATAGGTAAAGCAAAAGCTGCGCAGGTGAGCCAAGCAAAACAAAGAATTCATTCCCCACTTCCCATGGGCAGGCCAGTGTTCAGCCATCCCCAGGAAAGCAGGGCTCCATCACGTCTAATGGTGACTTGGGAAGACAAACGCCATCACTCCAAACATCCCTTCTTCCTGCTCCTTTCCCCCAGCTTTTACTGCTGAGTACATCATATGATATGGGACATCCCTTTGGTGAGCTGGGGTCAGCTGTCCCACCTGTGTCCCCTCCCTGCTTCTTGCCCACCCCAGCCTGCTTGCTGGTGGAGCAGCATGAGAAACAGAGAAGGCCTTGACAGAGTTTAGCAACAGTGAAAACCTCAGTGTGTTATCAACATTGTTTTGGTCACAAATCCAAAACATACCAGCATATGACCTGCTATGAAGAAAATTAACTCCATCCCAGCCCAAACCAGGACACTACAGAAACCAAGAAGTTCAATATCCATAAAAAGCAAATTGGCAAAAATGTTTCTACAGGGTAGAATTGGTGGAGATAAGTGATACAGTGCACAGGAGCAAACCCAGGCTTAATAAAAGCTAGTCATACCTCATGAAGCAACCAAGCTCTCCGAGGGAGCCAATGCACAAACACTGAGATGCATGTGCATCTTAAAAAAAACCAAATCAAACCAAAAAAACCAAAAACAACAAACCAAAACCAAGAAAAACCCAATCAAAACAACAAAATAAACAGTGAAAAGACAATTCAGCTGCCGACAAAATTCAGTGCAGATATGAAGTTGTGCAGATAGGGAAAAATTATTCTAATATTACAATACAGCTCTAGACTCTGAACTTCAGTAGAAAGCTACCTATGAAAATATCAGCCTTATGGTCAAAAAGGAAAATCCAAGACTAATTAATAGAGAAAACATAAATCATTGTCATGTCATAGAAGTTAAGAGTGGTTTCAGACACAAAACAGGCTAGAGCTGCTGAGGTTGGGCAACATGATGAAATTCAGTGCAGCAGAAGAGGTACAGGAACTGACTACTCACAATACAATAAAAATAACTGGATACTAGGTTTGGGAATAGCAAAAGGAAAGACTTTTCAGACAACATATAAGGGACCTGTGGACCACCAGATGTATATATGGGTACCGACAAGATAATTCTATATTCAACTCTGCAGTATGGCAGTCAGATGCTATTTCTGGTGCAAGCGCTGACTTGCCTTAAGGAGGAAAGGAAAGGAAGGAAAGGATTAGCCCATAATTACTCTTGTGCAACCGGCCACTGCCTGACACAGGCTAACTTATTAGATGCACCTCTAGTCTACTCCACCGTTGCGGCACTTACGGTCTTAACGGGTACTAGAAGATTTAGTGACATGGAGAAAGCATCAGTTCTCCTCCATTCTATTTCTGAGTTTCCTGCCCTTAGAAGCGGACCGAGAGGAACCAAAATAGTTACATTGCAGCCAGGTAATTTAACTGCACCTATGGCCCACATTACCAGGATCCTTGAACTTTCTCAGTCTTCCTCATGCCTTTAGTCTACCTCGCGGCCTTCCACTCTTTAACTGCCACTCAACATTTGCAAACAAGGATACGTTCCTGCTCCTGCTGGGAGTGAATCACCCTCTCCACATGGCCCATAAGGGAGCTCTGAATGGCATCAAGGTGATCTGTGAGTCTCTGCAGCAGCTCCATCTGGTTCTGACGCAGCTCAGAGAGCTCCCGCTGTTGGCTCCTCAACATGCACAGCAGCTCATCCTGGAACTCTGGTGTCACCTGTGTGTGGAGAGGACAAGCATTAATTTCTAACAGGATCAGAGGTCAGTCAAGCTTTCTGCCAGGTATTAAGTCAACCCCTGTGCCTAGGACTGAAGTGTAACACACAAAGCAGAAAATGAGAAATAGGCATTACACTGGCCTAAGACTTTTGTCCCAAGAAATAAAATGATAAAGCAAGGTACATGAAGTTCCTGCACGGAATTCATAAATTGTTGCTTAGAATATCAATGGGTTAGATTCAAGACCCCCTCCAAAGCTCTGGCATCTAGAAGAAAACAAAAGAAAACATATCCTGTTCACTTTTAGCCAGGTATGGAGAGAGTGCGTTTAGGCCTCCGGATGTAAATCATGACCTCAAACACTTACGAAAGAGCTGTGCAATCAGTAGAGTAAGAAGGAGGTTTCCTAGAACACTTTTTCAGCTCTTTCACTTATTTATGAATAACCAACAGGTATAGTTTGTTGCCTCTTCAGCTGCTCACAATATCCAAAGGAGACATACACATGAAGGGCAGTTTAAGAAACGCATGCAACTCGGCTGAGAGCATTTTCTGCTAGATATGAAGGTAGTATCAACAGGGATAAGAAATTCCAACAGGCCAGGCCCACTGTGACCCTCACTTTGCTGGGAACAGCTTATCCTGCTGCTGACACATGTGAAAGACAAAATGATGGTAGTGTTTCAGATGACACAGGGCTTGTGAGAACACAGAAACGCACATCAAAACACAAAGGTGAGAAGGAAGCCATCAGCCTGGATAGCACCGAGCAGCTCCTTCTCTGCTGCACAAGCCAGAGAACAAAGCAATGCCAAGCCCAAGCGCAGCCCCATCTCAGCCTGCTTGGGCACAGCAGGGGCCCGCGGTACTTCAAGGAACTGGGATGAACTTTCTCTCAGGTCTTTAGTAAGATGGTAAATAGAGCTGAAGCATCATGCTCTTGGGACAGACTGCAGAGCAGCTCTGACTCACCTGGCTGTTAGACGATCTTGGCGACTGGTTCACATCCCTGGAAATAAAAAGAAAAAAGTAGTAATCCAATTATGTCAATTAACTGCTCTTATTATCCAAGTCTGCCAAAACAGATCATGCGTTTTACGGTTGTTTTAGATTTTACACTCCAGCTCGTACCTCTGTTTTGCCTAGTACAACATGAAGAGTGATGGGAAGGTGACGAAATCCCAGCCCTTACAACACTCTGACTCCATCATTTGCACTATCCACAGGCCCTGAAGTTCCTTACAGACTCGTCCCTTCGCAGGGAGGAGATCTGAACCAAGTCTTAATGAGGACTGTTACAGAGAACAACGCATGCTGATCTTTCAGTTTTGTCCAAATTCAAAGCCAGGGAAGGTTTTGCCAAACAGTTTTTGAAGGTCTCCTGATAACTTCCAAAGAAAAACCAAGTACCCGTTTGTTAAATATAGAATTAATGAGCTTCAAATCATCTGGAATGATTCCAGCTCTCAAGGTGAAGAAACTAGCAATGCACTCCAGCATATACAGCAGAATAAAGAAAAATACTGAACTGATCCACTAATATTGCATGTCTCCATCAAAGTCACAGATCTATGAATACTGAAACACTACCAGAAGGAAAGTAGACATTTGTTGTTCCCAGACAGCATCCATTCAGCAACTTTGAAAGCACTGAGGCAGGAAAAATGAAAGTAATTTCAGAGGCTAAGCTTCTGGGTGTCACAGTACAGAACCACAGCCAGAAACTTAATGCCATAGCCCATCTCTGTTGTAGCCTGCACAGCCAGAGATCCAAATCATGGAGCTATGGGAACACAAGAAGAGGAGAGCACCCCATGCAGAAGCTGTGCTGCTCTCCTCAAGTTAACGCAGACAGGTTGCTCTAATTTGCCATGGGCAGACCTTTCCAGTCATCCATTTTCACTTACAAGACATTCCTATGGGTACGTTTAGAAATGCACAAAAGCAGCAAGCAGGTAACAAACGATAGATATCGTTGAACAAGGACACTGTGCCAGTGTTCAGAAACCAATTAGAAACGGAGGCCATGTTAAGTTATACTCACAGTGTCACAGTTCCAATGAAGCCTTCACTGAAACCAGCAAATGGACCCAGTGTCCCTCCACAGTGTGGAATTTACCTCCCACATATTCTTCTGAAGCCCAGGCTATATTTTGGATTTTGAGCTCCCCACCTGGAAAGGTAGCACACAACCTACTGCCACACCCCTGAGTTGCAGTCAGTGTCTAGGTAACCAGCAACACTTTCTGTGAGATTACTGCTGTTTGCAAAATGGGGTGAGGGTTGGGAGCACTTGGCCACTGCACAGCCTCAGTCCCTAGTCTCGCTGCTAACGGTTGTGGCCCTGCACAGCTGGTCCCACAGCCACTTGTATTCTGGCAAGCCCAGCATACCCATCATCTTTCTTGCCCTTCCGCTTTAGCTTTGGGGAAGCCCGGGGGGATGCCTTGGCTTTCCAGTCCTTCACAGGCAGCCTCTGCGTAGATGCTTTGGCACCAAATCCACCTGACGTAGAAGCCAAGCTTGCAACTTCATCATCATGGTCACTACGAAGGAAGAGCAGGGGAGAGGACATCACTTGCAATACTGGACAGCCTTAGCCTTCGCTAAGGGGAGGGGACTGACACTCTGCCCTTCATCCACACATGGCCAGAGTCATGCGGCTAAGGACACCCACCACCTTGATCTCCAACACAGAGACCTCTACAGAACTCAGCACATGCTGCTCCATTTTGATCCAGGTCTGCTCAGGCTGAGCTCGAGTGCCATGTAATAAGGCTTGAAGGGTCTTTGCATTAGGGGCAACTGTGGCTCAGGCAGCGTTGGGGAATGATGCCTCTTCTTGCTGCATTCACACACTAGGACATAAGCCCTAAGACGTGATGCTGACCCAGCAGGGAACCCAAGCACAGCATATTCTTACAGCTTCACAGACAGAAAGCACTTAATGCAGCAAGTATTGCAGGAACAGAGGAGAATCAGGTTAAGCCTGGGAAGTATGCAATCCTTGGTACCTCAGAGTCTTTCAGCTGCTAACTAGCCATCCAATACAGGCTGCACATTTCAGTCTGAAGTTAAGCGTGGATTATGAATGAACCCTCAGCTATCAAACAGAGCTGAGTTTGCCAGGCACACAGAATGTGCCCACAGAGCTTTAGGGTGGCCCCTGAGGGAGTAAAGATGTCAAAAGCAAGAAACTAACTCCTGAGATACCCTTGCTACCTTATCTAAGGCACAGTATTTGGAAACTGATCCCTGAATAGTTTTTCACTGGCAATTAAACCAAGCTTGGTCCATGCTCTTAGGAGCAGTACAATCAAATGTTTCCCTATGGAGAGTAAACTGGACAGCGCCCAGAGGCCAATCTCCTGATCAGCTGAACTCATCAGAACATTACGGAAGCTGCACTGCATGCACACATTAAGTCAGGAGACAAAGCAAAGACATTCACCCCACACGTGAAGGCTTGCTGGGGACAGAAGCATGAATGCAGCCTGAACTGAGTCCATGCAGGGCGAGAGAGGGGGCTGAGCACTCTGGTACCTTTGTTCTGCACTAGCATCCTGGCTGTCATGCTGCAGCAAGTGGTAGCTGTGTCGATGATAGGAAGAGCTCTTGTGCTTTTCTTCAACCTCATCCCTTGGGCTAGAGGAGGAAATAAAATAAAATAAAATACCGTCAAGAAAGTCTCTTTCAGCTTGGATATTTGCTCACTCCACTTCTCATGAGAGATCCTGATAGAAGCACTAAAATAAACAAAAACCCCACACCTATCTGCACAGATCCAGAAAGCTGCAGGTGTTTTTCATAGGCACTGAACACTCAAGCTTCTCCAAGTGTTTTTCTGGGGGCCTTAAGAAGGGAGAAGCACCTCACCTGTGCTTCAAGAACTAACCAAGAACAATCTCCCAACAGACACTCAGGCAAGACAGGTAAGCCACTACTCAAAATGGGCAGTACAGCATACTTTAGTGAATAGCATCACCTTGGGTTTGTTTTTCCTCAAGTAATACTGATCACTGGGGCAAAAATCATCAGTGCTTCTCAGTTCTTTCAAGTGTATGATGAAGTATGCGAATTTGATGGGTTACCTCTACCAGACAGGACAGAATTGTAACAGTGAATCCAGTCTGAGTTTCATAAAGATTTTGAAAGCAAATTGCATGTGCTTCTAAGCTGTAAATTAGGTCTGTCTGAATTCAGCTTGCAGGGAGATCTTTAGACGGAAGTGAACATTTGTTACTTTTATGTAGGCTGATGGCTTGACTGAGCTGGAATGTATTTAAAAAAAATAACCTCTCAGATCCGGAGATACCCGATATGATATTCCGATATGAGAAGTCTTGAAGAATTCAAAGAGAGAGTAGGATTGAGGGGACTCGCAAACTCCTATAAAAGTATTTTCTCAATTTCAAATTATAAGCAAACACAAAAACATCGCATAGAGACAAAGCCTCAGTGCCCTCCCCAGAGCCATCAGAATTGAGACTGTTTCCTGAAGCAGCGTCCTCAGGTGCAGAGGTATGAGGTGAGGCCTTTCTCTTGCAATTCTGATGGGAGGGAACAGCCCTGGATTGTTTGAGGGACAACACTGACACTGTCAGCCTGCTAGTCCTGTTGCAAAGGGTGGTGTTTGCAGGCTGTCATGGTGCATGAGGCCCAGGCCTAGACAGACTCTGGAGATGCCAGATGCAACTCACTGTTCCCGTCCCACTACAAGACAAGGACACTAACTCTGTGATGAATCCTAGCACTGTTCCAGTGTAATAGCTTGCTCCTGGTAAGCAGGCATATATGCTGTTGCACCGTTCTCTACGCCTGCTCCACAGAGACACTGCCATTCATTTTCTGACTTTTAAAGTACTTTAAACACTAGCTGCATAGAGCCAATCCGAGAAGAGAGATACACAGTTAACCTATAATCAAAGCTGTCAAAGATGTGCCAATTGATTCCTCTCAAGAAAAG